ATTCAATATCTTGTCTTATTTTCGTTCCCATTTTCAGAAATATCATAATTTCTTATGCTGGATGTCTGCGACACGGATTGATACCAAACCTCCTTGCTGAAGGAAAGGGTGAGCCATGGCTAAATTCGCAATTTCAATAATTTGGGAGAATTTTCTTTGTGTTTTGACAAAAATCATTTCTTATGACACAGTACCCGCGGAAGGCATCACATCACCATCCTTTTTGACATTTTCTTTTATGCTAAAAAGTCATCTTCAGGTGCCCGCTATAACTGCCGTGATGCTGTTTGGTTCTGGCTATATGGCATTGAACGCTATGTTCGAATGGCTCCAGAAGGACATGAAATTCTAAAGTGCCCTGTACTGCGAATATATCCCGATGATGACGTTATATACGGAGAAGACGCGCGGGTGAAATTTTTCTGTTTTGAAATGGTGTGCGGGAGTAAGGGGACCTGTTTTTAGGAGCAGCTTTTGATCGATGTTATGTACGAAGCTTTGAGTCGACACTTCGCAGGAATCGATTTCAGAGAACGAAATGCTGGATTTGAGATCGATGAACATATGAAAGATGAAGGTGAGCAGTTATCACCATAGTCCAAAAATGTGAGTCAGAGTGGTGGGTCTTCGAGAAGTTTGTTGAAAATTGTAGTTGCCTCTAAAAAACCAGTGGTGTTAGTTCTTGAAGAGTTCCTTGAAAAGAGTCGAAAAAAACTATGTTTATCTCTTATTTTGCATAGCTACATTATGTTACCGTACTTCGACGGCCTCGAATGCGGTACCTCTTTCATATAATATTTTTGAAAAAAATTCTGCATGAACCGCTGCTGAAAAAATAGGGAGCGTTGTAACGTTTGTCTAGCGTCCCAAAGCCATCTTTGGTTACGGTAATATACGGTAGCAAGGGCTATGGAAGCTGTCTAGGCGTACAACCCTCTGGATACTGTTTACTCTGTGAAATCAAGGTGAATTGAAATGTCATTATTGTAGGTTTTAATGTGAAAGCATACGTGGATCGAAACACTGGCTTCATTCACGGTGGTAACAGATGGAACTGCGGTACCTGGATGGACAAGATGGGAAGTAGTGAAAAGGTAAAGATTTTTTCCTTACATAGAGGTTCTGCGACAAAATTTCTGTGAGAAATCATCACTTTCAACAAAAGTTCATGGAAATCAAATGAAACTCTTCATTCACCACTATTTGTGATCCTAACCACGAATTTGTGATCCTAACCACGAAAGTCCCAAACAGCAATATTGAAACTTGCATCTATGATTAGTTACTCCGTTGGTTAGTCACTCACTCCGTTTCGTTACCGCATTTTTACGAAGCAAATAGTGGAAGGGGCGTTTCTGGAGATTGTTTGTATACTGATTGTGAGAAATAAGTACATTTTGGACTGAAAACTAAGAAAAAATGACTTCTATTGAAATTTAGGGGAGCTAAAATTCTTACTTGTTTGATTCCAGGCAGGAAATCGAGGAGAACCTGCAACCCCTCGTGATGGAGCAGCTGTGGAATTACAAGCGTTGGCATACAATATACTCTGTGCTATGGCAGAGTGGTCCGATAGTGGATTGATAAGCCAAAATGGAGTGTCACATGGTAAGGGGCGCTTCATGCGTACTACAAGACATATTTTTGTCCTTCACCAGATTCCGAGAATTGGACCTGGTCACAATGGGCCGAGAAAATCAAAGCAAATTTCGAGCCTCAATTCTACGTCAGCGAAAATGACGACAGTAAATATGTCAATAGGAGAAACATATTGAAAGATACTGTTGGCTCATCGCTTGGCTACAGTGATTACGAGTTGAGACCGAACTTCACTATCGCTTTAGCTACGGTAATTCTTATTTTCTCTTGTCTGTCATCGTTATAATGGGAGAGAATTAGGCGCCGACGTTGGTAGATCCACATAAAGCTTGGTTGGCACTCGAAGCAGCAAAGAAGTACTTGTTGGGACCGATAGGAATCAAAACGCTTGACCCTAGGTGGGTGATGCGATTTTCTTTTTTGAAATAATTTTTACAAGGTTGTGGATTTTATAGTGATTGGGCATACAATGGCGACTATTATAACGATGATGGATGCGATAAGAAGACCGCATGTGGGTGGAACTATCACCAAGGACCTGTGAGTTCAACAA